TGCTGAACCATAAGAAAAAAAATCTTCATCTGATATAATTGCATAGATTTAATAAAAAGAAAAGCAAGAGGTTTTACTTCAACAATCTGGATTGAAAAGCTACCAGATTTCTAGGAGCTGCCTTCGCTTCATCATTCTTAGCTATCCTCACTCCAGTGTGAATAGGAAAATGCGCTGCTGATAAGGTTAGTAGCCCTGATAAACATAGCAATGGCACAAAGTTCTCTGAGACTAGAGAAGAGGAACCCTAAAATCTGCTCTTAGAGAAGTTAAGGAAAGTGCTGGTCAGAGGATGTATCCCTGGGCTGACTCCTGAAGGGCCAGGAGGAATTCTTGAGCAAAGCCTGGTGGGTTGAAGGTGGAGATTGCTGTGTACCAAGTGAATGAGAAATTAAGGACCATAGGTTCTCAGAGAACTTTACTACACCAATAGAGCTGGTGGGCAAGTGGGGAAGGAGACTGAGAACTGTGGCCAGACATGCAGCCAGAAGCCAGATGATGACGGGTGCTCTGCTGACTGGGGCAGGATGTCTATCCACTAGCCAAGAAGAAACTTAACATCCTGAGCAAGGGAATGGTACTGATGGATGTACAGTTTGGAAATGGCTCACTGCCAACAGTGAAGTGGAGAATGGATTGGAGGGAGGAAGGTAAGACCAGAGATTGGGAAACCCATTTATATGAAGTGTATCAGGAAAGACAGATTAAGAGGATTTTTCTGGGGAGGGACAGGAAATAGGTGGAAGGGAAGGACAACATTAAGATTTCTGGCTTGAGTAACTCCATTTGGATTGACCAGTGGAGAAAATCTAGAAGAAATAGAGGTGCAGTGAGGAGGAGAGTAATAAAAAGTCCATTTATCATGGACATGTCCAATAGGTATTAGATAAATGACCCTATGGCACAAAGGTCAAACCCCTAGAGAGTACAGGAAATCAGTAGTCCAAATGGTAATAGAAGTATTTCTGACTTTTTTCCCGGCCCTTACATCTTGTGGTTTAATGAAGAACATCATCTCTGACAAATGTCCATTTCAGGAAGTCTGTAATTAGCTGCCTAAGTGGCCTGTATTGAGTGACATGGTGCAGCTCCTCATGATTATAATCAGTAAAAAAGTTGTAATCCCAGCTTCTTTCCGACATTGCAAATCTATCTATATAGATCTATTGCATGCCACCTTTATATTAGATGCTACATAGGAGATTCATATTCTTATATTTGACATTATTTCATAGTGTTTTCAGTTCAATTTAGGGAGCTAAGTTAGGTGGAAAAGCAAGTATGGGGATGTGAAAATTTCTCACTAAGATCAGGAAGTGGGTTTAGTAGGAAGATGGTGAATTTTGCTTTAAGCCTGATGAGTCTGAAATTATGGCAGAGGATCAAAAGAAGTGATTAAGAATGAGACATATACTTGAGAAAAAGATCCTGGCTAGAGACAAAGATTTGGGATTTATCTGAGGATCATGGTTACTGAAATTGGGAGAATCTGTGAAGGGGCGGGAGGGGAGCATTAAGCTTGTAGCAGGTCCCAGGGAGGGTAGGAGCCTTGGCAGACACTGATTGTAGGTTGTTGAAAGGGCGTGAGGGCAAGCCAAAGAGGCTGGAGGTAGAACAAGAGTAATGTTCTGTCATCAGACATGGGAAGAGAGACTTCAAAGAAAAGAATGTTGAAGAGACTTAAGAGGTCAGGGGTGACTAACTGGGAAATGCCCCATGAATCAGTCAGTGTGACCTTTGCTTGAAGGAGTTTCAATGGGAAAAGGGGTTAGGAAGTAAGATTGTAGGTCATTAAGTAGGAAGATTGAGAGGAATAGTAGTGATAATACTATTAATAATAATCGGCATGATCGGAAGCTTCCTACATTACATAACAGGTGGTCTTCTGTGTACTCTATATACATTACTTTCTTTAATCTTCACAATAATTGTAGAAACATAGCAATATTATTGTAATTATTATTTATACCATTACTATTATTTGCTACTATAGATAAGCCATATTAGGAAATAAAAACAATGAATGTAGACATTTCCATTGAAACATTTTGTAGTGACAGGAATAGAAAAGCACAGTAGGAAGTGACAAGTGCAAGTGGAAGATTTTTCAAGTGATTTTTAGCATTTTTGAAGAAAACAAGAAGAGCTGGGGACAAATTATTGAAGATACTGGAGAAGGATGGGCAGGTGGAACTAAAGATCCAAAGAGGTTGTTTGGGATGAAAGAAGGTGTCCTGCCTTGAAAGGAGAAGGTGCACAGATTTTTTTTTTTTTTGAGTTGAGAAAATTACAAAATCTGATGTAGTAGCTCATATTTTTCCATTCAAAAGTGAGACAGTCTCTGAACTTAAGCTAGATAATGTCAGCGTGGGAAAATTCAGAAGGGAAGTGAGACAGCTGCTGAGTTCAATAGATGTATTTTTATCTTCTTTTGGAAAATTTCTTTCACTCAGCTTTACAATATTTAAAAGAGAATTGTATTTATTCATTTTTACTTTAGAAGAATTTTTTATTTTTTTTAAATTTACATTTAATCAGTGTTCATCCTATGAGTGTACATAATGATTTTTCCCAGTATGAATATAGTGCATTTTAGTCTAGTCCAAGACATTACTGTCTTTATCATCAACAGATATCTTTCCATTCTTATGTCTGCTAAATGTTCTTTCTCTGATTCTCTCCTTTCATTTCCCACGACCCATCTCTCTCATACTGTTTGTTTCTAATAGTTAGAGTGCAGACATTAGGTGTATATTAAGTAGGAGCATACAGTGCCTCTCTCTCATAGCCTGGCTTGCTTTGCTCAGCATTAAATCTTACATATTCATCCACTTTGTATCAACTGTCAGGGTCTCATTGTTTTTGATGACTGAGTAATATTCTATAGTGTATATGTGCCACATTTATTAACTCCCCCAAAAGTAAATTCTGTTAAGTGAAATTTAGCTTGTCAGGTTTTTTCTTCATTTGTTACCCAATTTCATTATTTGAACATAAAATATTTTTATATCTATTTGGATACTGTAACTGTAGTGCATTTTCTTGTTTTTCTGAAAACATGTATTTGGGGACTAAATATAGAGGCAGAAAGAGCAGAGAGCTGGCAAATGAAAATATAGAGTGTGGCAATGAACAAGGAGACTGGGAATGAAAGAATGGCAAAGAAAAATCAGTAACTGCAAGGATAAAGAGTAAGAACTCAATCTAGAAGTCCATTTATAACTTTGCAATTAAAGTTAACTTTATGAGAACATCTTTACTAATAAGATAAGGTACAATGTCACCATCATCACGTTCATGGAGAACAAAGCAAATTTTCAAGTTCACAAGTCAGTTGAAGCAGCAATGACATTTAGGACCTTGTGTGGATATGTTGGTGGTACTTAATCTTTACTCATGAGTAACTGGAACTGACTGGCACTTCTGCTGAATTCACCAGATCCTATCTGGACTTCACACAAACACTGTAGATTTGATCAAAGTTGCACTTTATCAACAAATATCTTTTCGTTCTTATGTCTGCTAAATGTCCTTTCTCTGATTCTCCCCTCCCATTTCATACTATCCATCCCTCCTATACTGTTTCTAGTATCGACAATGTGGCTAAACCAGGGTTGGCTAAACCATTGCTTCTTTCTGTCCACAACTCCACATATAGAACTATTAGCATATACTGCAACCAAAAAAGATGACGATAATTCTTCATATTCCCCTTGTAGGAATATAACTCTTCTTGAAAACAAGAGAGTTAAAAATATGTAGGAAGGACTGACCATGCCAATCATTTCAGCTTGAAAACATTTCCTGAGGAAAAGTAAATGTTTTCTCATAAAATGCAACATTTTGTCTATTAAACATTTTCATTGAAACATTTTATTTATATGTAAAATGTTTTTCAAGTTCTCTCTGTATAAACATGATCATTTCTCACTAATGGAGGTATGTCGGGTGCCTCTGTTTATCCATTAATATCTCATGTTTGTCAGCCTGTGTCTGTTTTGTGTCTGATGTGAAATGTCTTTTTTGCAGATATTGATGAATGTGTGAACAACACTATTTGTGACAGTCACGGGTTTTGTGACAATACAGCTGGCTCCTTCCGCTGCCTCTGTTATCAGGGCTTTCAAGCCCCACAGGATGGGCAAGGGTGTGTGGGTGAGTTTTTAAATTTTTTTCCCCCAACATGTGTCATATGTTCTTCTCAAATCAAAATGGTCACCAATAGAAGATTTCAAACAGAAAATTTAAGCAGAATTTCATCATACTTTGATTTTTGTCAGACAACATGAGCATATGCCAAAAAAAAAAAATCTATGGCTTCTAAAATGATTAAGGACACTAAGAAATGCAGAGGTATGGCTTTGAACTTACATATATTTTTAGAAGAACATCTGTTTAAACTCTTTGCTGAGTATGCAGAAATCTGTAGTCTCTTCTGCACAGGAAATAGAGTCTGGTGTGTGGTAGAGCTTGTCTATCTTCTAAATGCACCTCCTTAGGCAGTGCATTTAAGAAAAAGTGTTGGCAAGATCTTCGGTTTCCAGGAATGATACCCATAAAATGATGCTTTGGGTTGTGCAACTATATTTCTTTAGTCTGTTCTGGGATTGACGAGGCTGAAACGAATTCTCAATATCAATATACATCCTAGAAGGCAGTCCAATGTGTGCTCATACAGAAGAAGATTGTTTGTAGTTTGCTTTTAGATCACGGGGATTTCTTTAAATCAGATTCATTATGAAGCACATTTACAATAAGAGCAATTAAATGGGAAAGAAGAGGAAAGGTTGTAAAATTTAAAACTTCAAAGATAACAAAGCTTGTTCTTCTTAGAGGAAGAAAAAAGCCATGTTCACTACATGTCCAATGGCATTTGAGGGAGGAGTCAAGAATTTTTTGTTTTGATAATTTTCAATTTAAAGCATTAGTTCATTTGCCATGTGGGTGAAGTTGAAAAAAAAAAAAAAAAACAACACCTTCTCAGAGGTTTAATGGTAGTATCACTTGAACAGTAATTGTGTCTACATGATCATTGTGGAATTCAATTTATTCCCAATCACAGAGCAATAATGTAATGTCAAGCAAAAGCATCAGCTAGTCAGAAGCATAACATATAACTACTCAAGAATTAGTCACAAGACAACATAGCTGTTTAGTAATACAGCCAAGGCTATCCCAATGTCTAGTTCCAACCCCTACTTTAGCCCCCTCCCATCAAAATCCAAGGATAAAAGTTGTCCTTAGTTGCATTTTTTTCTTTTCTTTTTTTTTTTCTTTTTTTGCCATAGGACGCATACACTTGCCAGAGAGAGAACACGAATCCCCCAGAGGAGATGGCTACATTACAGTCTCTTCTCCTCCATGCTTTTCTTGGGATTTTGGATAAACACACACACACACACACATACAAGCTCAGCATGTTTTTCAAGCCACTGGGTCTAGGACTTAAACTACATAGTCTTCCAAGTGGGATCTAATTACCTAAACCACTACGCCACTAGATGGCTCATTTAACTAAATATTTTAACCAAACAGGTCATGTGATTTGGTTCCTTTTATCTGGATAGCTTCACTGCTTCCTTCCTCACCTGTTATGTTCCCATAACATGAGACTGATCCTGGTCACTTGCGTCACCATACAGTATTTTGGTTGGTTGTTTCTTCTGCTGGGAATGTCCTCTTAGCCTCCCACTCCCTAGCCTGGGTTCATCCCATTCACTCTTAAAGACTGTTAGGTGTCACATCCTTCTAGGGACCTTCCCTGCTCCATCCCTCACTCTCATATTGAGCTTCAATTCCTCTTCCTGGTTTGAGAACATTGTCAGCAAATTCCGTTATAGTTAGTACTTACAACCTTTTTTGAATAATTCGATTCTGTGTGCTTCTCACGTGTAGGCCTCTTCTCTAAGGCCACAATCTCCATGTGATTGAGAACTGTCTCCCCTAGACCAAGAACAATGTTTGTAGATGCTCCGTAAATGTTGTTTAACTACTAACTGTTGAAATGTCTGACATTTAATTATTTACTTCACAAAGCTCCAGAGCCCCTGCCAATCAATTTCTAACCAGCCAGATGAGTGCATTAAACCCATATTGACACAAAAATACCACCCTTAGAGAAGAAATGTTGCTACCATTTTGGAGGACTCAAAAAGTGTCATTTTACTCATTCTTTCAAGAAATGTTAACTGAGTATGTGTTATATGCACTTTACCACATTGGGTATTATACAGAATTTTAGAAATGGTCTAATCCCATCCCCCATCATACCTACTCATCCTCAGCTCTCAGCTCAAGTAGAGTTTCCCTTACCCACCCCTGCACTTAAGATCCACTGTCCCATGCTTTCCTGGGGCTCACCGAAAGCTTGTATAATTATCTTCTCAATCTTCCTGCCTTGGTTGTAAGCACCATGAAGGCAGGAGTTGGGCTGCCTGACTCAACATCATTTCCCTGCACATGGGCCCTGTGGGCCTGGCTTACAGAAGGAAGATAGAAAACAGTTTTTGACTGAGTGCATGCTGTTGGCTAGGAGAGATTTCAATAGCCATGTAAATAATACAAGTTGGAAAGTAGAAAGTTTCATTCAGCATTTACCCAAAATTGATAAATATGAACTGACAAATTTCCAAGGTCAGTTTTCCTGGTCTAAATTATGACCGTCTCTTTTCACTAAAGAGTCCAACTTTGCTTTACTTTATGTTACAATAGCTTTTCACAAGTGAAACCCAACTTAGTGGGTTTGTATCTGTTTATGTACCAAATGAAACAGAAAACTGAGACAATTATCCAGATAAGTCAAGATACATACATTTTTTTTTGTCCAATTAACTGGGTGTGTGGCAGGTGAAAATAGGACTATTTTTCCTGGAATCATTTGATGACTGGATAAATGGTTAACTTCATATAAACCTTCTCAGAGTGTTCTAAGGAAAGCTGTCATTTGCACATGTTTAAAATGTACGGTCCACGAGCATTTCAGATGTCAAGTCAGGTCTATGAGAAAAGGTAAAAAGTCCTATTGGGCAAGGTCAAACATAAAAGTAGCCTTTTTTTGGGCTGTGTACCTGCATAATGTCAAATAAAGCACAGTCATCATAGCAAGGCATATGATTTCATAACTATTTTAATTACGTTACAGTAGAAAAATATTTTGCAAAATAAGCCTTATATTGGCAAACATCAGCAGGTTTTGAAAAGGCATAATGAAATAAACGATTAGTTATTTAACTGGCTTCATTCACATAATTAATGTAGCCTGAGGAATATTTACAGGGATATTTTCTTTATTTCTCAAAGAGAACACAACCTAATCCTGTAGTTAATTTATGAACATGTAGGCAACTAGAGAATTGTGTTTCCAGACATTTAAGTATATTTAAACTATTTTTTAATTTAAAGGATTTAATTCAAAGAATTCTGATGAAATGTCAGTGCTCTTCAATATTCCTTGAATTAAAAAATGATAGTAGAATGTTGGCTCATTTTAGACGTTTTTATGTTGACATTAGAGAAGACAAACCTATACTTTTTTTTAAGAATTATTTTCTTTAATTTTATTTGCTTATTTATTTATTTTTCATTTGACTAGAGAGGGACAGAGTGAGAGAGAGAGTGAGAGAGAGAGAGAAAAAGCAAGCCACCAGGTCTGGGACTCAAACTGCAGTCGGCCATATGGGAGTCCAGTGCCCTTAACCACCACACCACCTCTTGGCCCCAACAAACCTACACTTTCAAAGGATACTTACTTCCTGAGCTTGCAGTACAGTTTGAGGGTGTTCCCTACGAGTGGAACTGGGATTTAGAACCTCTATCTTGGATTTTCATGATCCTTACTCATACACCAAATCTTCCAGTTCTGTCTTTAGGAGCCCTTTCCCTAAAAGACCAGAAGTGTTTTCTCAAAGAGAACACAACCTAATCCTGTAGTTAATTTATGAACATGTAGGCAACTAGAGAATTGTGTTTCCAGACATTTAAGTATATTTAAACTATTTTTTAATTTAAAGGATTTAATTCAAAGAATTCTGATGAAATGTCAGTGCTCTTCAATATTCCTTGAATTAAAAAATGATAGTAGAATGTTGGCTCATTTTAGACGTTTTTATGTTGACATTAGAGAAGACAAACCTATACTTTTTTTTAAGAATTATTTTCTTTAATTTTATTTGCTTATTTATTTATTTTTCATTTGACTAGAGAGGGAGAGTGAGAGAGAGAGTGAGAGAGAGAGAGAAAAAGCAAGCCACCAGGTCTGGGACTCAAACTGCAGTCGGCCATATGGGAGTCCAGTGCCCTTAACCACCACACCACCTCTTGGCCCCAACAAACCTACACTTTCAAAGGATACTTACTTCCTGAGCTTGCAGTACAGTTTGAGGGTGTTCCCTACGAGTGGAACTGGGATTTAGAACCTCTATCTTGGATTTTCATGATCCTTACTCATACACCAAATCTTCCAGTTCTGTCTTTAGGAGCCCTTTCCCTAAAAGACCAGAAGGGTTTTGACTGCTCATGGGGGAATCACCTCATTTGCAGTAGACACGACTAGCCTCGGCACAGATGTCAAGAATGAGGCACACGTTTCACTTGCTCTGTGCTCCTTTTTCCAGATGTGAACGAATGTGAGCTGCTCAGTGGCGTGTGTGGTGAAGCCTTCTGTGAAAATGTGGAAGGGTCCTTCCTGTGTGTGTGTGCCGATGAAAACCAGGAGTACAGCCCCATGACTGGGCAATGCCGCTCCCGGGCCTCTGCAGGTGAGTTCACCAGTCCTGTGGAGGGGAGGGTGGGCTTCTCTCAGGATCTGTGCTTCACGGGTTTGGGCCAGGTACTCTGGGAGTGAGGTAAGAAATAGACAAGTGACCTGGCATAATGCTATCTCTGGAAACTTTCATGCTCTTCCAGGGCCTATTTTAGTGAAACTTAGAGTTTGGGGATGACTCTTTAGGCTAGATGGCCACTAACATGCTTTCCTACCCAGAAATGCCATGAGTTGGGTAAAGGGCCCCAAGTGCTGAGAACATTCACTATTAGCTTGGGGTTTTCTATGGCATCATCTCATTAAGTTGCATAATCCTGCTTACTTGGCCCTTGGAGAAATATATCTTGACACTTCTCTAAATTAAAAGGAACGTATAGGCCTCTTAGGATCTACAAAGACTTCACTTGGAATTCTTAAGGTGTTTTTCCAGAATTTGACTATGTTTGCATTTATTTAAAAATTGATGTAGGCTGCGTCATCACTGCACAAATTGAAATGGAGAACTGACTGTTTTCCAGGTAGATTAATCAACTTTCACATCACCCTTTTAGTTTTTGCCATGTTGCTATAACCTGGTTGTATTTTAAGGAAAGCAAAAACCAAATGGCCCTTTGAGAACCAAATAAAATGAAACATAGACCATTTTACATTTTTTGCTCAATCTCAGTTTTATCCATGCTTCTCTGATAGCTTTCACTATGGCTCTATAGCGTTGACGTGTTCTGTGTAGAATAGCTGTCTTTCCAAGTTAATAGGGAATATATTATAAAACTATTTTCACCCCGCTTTTTCCTCTCAATTATTAAGTATAGAAAGGCTAGAGGTACGTAATTAAATGGACAGTAGTTTGAAACCATTGTCTATGAAGGGGAAATGATAAGTTATAATATTACTATTCAATTTACCTGGCCACCACTAACTGCACATGCCATAAAGACCTTTTATCTTAGTTATACCTATAATAGCAAAACAAAACAAAAAACCTGGAAGGCCAGTAACAAGAACTGGTTAAGTAGTTGTCTTTTTCTTATTTGTCCTTGGTTCCAGAATAGTACAAATTAATTCTGGCCCCATAAAATATTGCAGAGTCATTAATTGGTTTATATGATGATTACGTAGCTTTAGTAAAGGTAAATATATATGATACAATGTTCATTGGAGAGAAATGAACAAACAAAAAAATCAAACTAGTCATTGATCACACTCTGTAGAAGGAGGTTGGTAAGAAAGCATAAGAAAATAAGTCCATGGTTTGACTTAAGGAAAATTTAATTTTTTTCCTATATTTTCTAAACTTCCTATAATATTTCAATGGGAAGACCAGAGTTCTGGTTCGCTAACCATTTTTTTAAAGAATTATCTTTTATTTAATTTTATTTATTCATTTATTTATTTTAATTTGATCAGAGGGAGACACATAGAGAGATGACTGTATGGAGTCTTAAGACTATCCTGTGTCAGTTTCCCTTTTAACAGTCCTCTAGGGACCAGCAGTTAGCATAATGGCTTTGTCGTTGAACTCCCATGTCGCCATGTCATTAACCACGGTTCAAATCCTGGACCCGGTGGCTTAAAGTTACGCCGGGCGCATGTGCATATGTGCCCAAGATCCCCAGAGGAGAATGGAGGAGAAGGGATTGCAGCATGACCATCCCCCCTGGGAGGTGATTTCTCGCTTTCTGTCTCTCTGTCTCTCTCTCTGGCAAGCATACACTCCTTGTAGCTAAAACCTCTCAAAAAAAAAAGGAAGGAAGGAAGGAAGGAAAGAAAGAAAGAAAGAAAGAAAGAAAGAAAGAAAGAAAGAAAGAAAGAAAGAAAGAAAGAAAGAAAGAAAACAGTCCTGTAGCAGTGACCTGAGAGAACAGAACAAGTTCAGCTATAAACTGCAGCACCAGCCTTCTGAGTACATCAGAGCCAGTGATGGATCAGTTATTTGAAAAAGGTGATTACAAGTCATGAAAAATTAATATGTCACTTAAATATTTAATTTTTACCTCAAAATATATTAAATGTACATTTATTCACCATTTTATTCACCATTTTTTTAATGCCACAGGGTGCATGCACTTGTCTGAAAGAGACAGAGAAAGGGAGGGGGGAGTGAGAAATCACCCCCCGCCCCCCCCAGGGGAAGATGGCCATGCCTCAGTCTCTTCTCTGTTCTTCTCTCAGGATTTTGGGCGCACACAGTCAGGCACCCAGCTTGTTTTTCGGATTGCCAGGTCTAGGTCTCGAACTGGAGTCAGTCAAGTGGTGCGCGTCCAGCTCTTTAACCACTGCACCACCAGGTGACCCTATTCACCAATCTTTAGAGAAAAACCAAAGTCTTTTTTTTTGCATAGAGGTCAGCTCTTAAAGTTCTCCATATCTTGTCTTATATGCAGCACATCTATTATGCATTATTTTTATTTATTTATTTTTTGGAGAGGTTTTTGCTATAGGGCACATGCGCTTGCCAGAAAGAGAGAGAGAGAGACAGAGAGACAGAAAGCGAGAAATCACCCCCTGGGGGGGATGGCCACTCTGCAATCTCTTCTCCTCCATTCTCCTCTCGGGATCTTGGACACATACACACACACACATGCCCAGTGTGAGTTTAAGCCACTGGGTCCGAGACTCGAACAGCAGTCAACTACATGGGAGTCCAGCGACATAGCCATTACACCAACTGCTGGTCCCTATTATGGGTATTGATACTACTTACTTAAAAGAGAATAAGAATTTAAAAGCCTTTACAGAGCAAATGAATACAGAATCCCTGTCGATTTTTAGTTTTGCTTTGGTTTTTTCAGTTTTCTCATCCATATCTAATTTGATAACATTCTTTTTATTCAATCATCTAGTCTTTCTAAAGTTCTAACATGTTCTAGAAACAACTCTTCTATTCACACTCAATTTTATTGGTTTCCATATAATTTAGTTACCTTGTGTAAGTTCAGTAATCAACACACTGGCATGGAATGTTTGAGAATAAGTATAGCTGAGACTTAGTTGGTACGGTCTTCCACCTTCAGAAGCCAAGTGTGTGGACCTAGCCCTCTGGCAGTGAGCCATCTACTCGCTACGGACTTCAGGGCATTTTTCA